CATCACTGTGCACAAAGTGAGCAGGAACAGAGAAAGAGGGGGAGGGGGAAACAGGAAGATGATTGCTGCCTTGGACTGTGGAGGAAAGAAACATGCAAGGAATTCTCGTCTTTAAAGCGGCTGAATCCCTTTATCTCAGGCCTTGTGGGGGCAGGAATAATCCCTTTGAAGATTTAAAAGATGCTTTTTCATGTGTGCAGGATTGAAGTCAATGGGAGTAAGGAAACAGTGAGTGGTTCAGACTCATTTCCTGCATTCATCTGAAATTATATATAATTACACAACAGAGAGATTCTCGTCCCAGATGGACAGGGGATTTCAGAAGCACAGAGAGCCCTAGGGCGAGGATCAAACATAGGGACAGCAGTCTACTACAGAACTCTTCCTCTCTCTCTCACACACAAACACACACACACACACACACACGAGGACACGGACACACAGACACATGGATACACACACAGACGCATACACACACACGGACGCATACACACACACGGACGCATACACACACACGGACGCATACACACACACGGACGCATACACACACACAGATACACAGAGGTGCATGCACACACACACAAACGAGGCTGCTGATGGTTTGTTTGCTGCACATTGGAAGGCAATGCATCTGTATAGCACCTAATTAACAAAATGTCACAGCACACTTCCATTCTTTTCTTATTCATTTGCAGGACATTAGCAGCGTTCCAAGGCTAAGTGTAATTTCTCTTGGAGGTGGTGACAAGCTGCCTTCTTAGATTTGCTACATCATCCCAGAGAACAGTTAAGAGTCAACCATATTGTCGTGGGTCTGGAGTCACATACAGGCCAGACCGGGTAAGGGAACCAGACTTCCTTTCCTTGAGGGCTTTAGTGCACCGGATGGGTTTTTAATGTAGTTCCATGATCACCATTGTGGATTTGGATCTTTTATTCCAGATTTATTTTATTTGCATTCATGTCTCTCCTTCCTACCACCCCAATCCTGCTTTAGTGGTAGCATCAAATTCTTGGACCATCAGTTTCAGCCTTAAAAACATAGAAAATAGGAGCAGGAGTAGGCCATTCAGCCCTTCGAACCTGCTTGATCATTCACCATGATCATGGTTGCTCATCCAACTCAGTATCCTGTTCCTGTTTTCTTTGAACCCTTTAGCTCCCAAGAATTGTATCTAACTTCTGCTCAAAAACATTCAATGTTCTGGTCTCAACCGCTTTCTGTGGCAGAGAATTCCATAGGCTCCCCACTCTCTGGGTGAAGACATTGCTCCTCATCTCAGTCCTAAATGGCTTACCCTGTATCCATTACACTGTGATTGCTAGCTCTGGACTCCCTGGTCATCAGGAACATCCTTCCTGTGTTTAGCCTTTTGGAATTCTGTACGTTTCTTTAAAGGTCCCCCTCATTCTTCCAAACTCCAGAGAACACAGTCCTAGCCTCTGGGATACTGGCCACTATATTAGCATCCAAATCTTGTACGATTTCAAAAATAAATGTTAAAAAGAGGAGAAATAGGACAGGAAGGAAACACTTAGTGAACGTTGCATGCGTTAAAGGAGGGTCAAGACAAGAAACTGAATGAGTTGAAGGGGATTAGAAAGGAATGCTACATAGAGGATGGAATCCGGAAGTGACATAGCCTTGGTAATCTGGATTGTCATGGGGGTGAAGATAAAAACTCATTCCTGCAGCCTCCCATACACACACACACACACACACACACACACACACATACCCCCCCCCAAACACACACACACACAGACACACACACACTCACAGACACACACACAGACAACTCCCCCCAACACAGACACACACACAGACCATCCCCGCCCCCCAACACACACACACACACACAAACCCAATGTAAACAATCCCCTAACTTCTGCACAGTACAGATATGTAGACTTGGCAATCATACGGGATCTGGTTTGAGTCAGATTGTGGTACGTGATAAATATAAACACACCATTATGGACCTGACATCATTGTCTCGAAGCAACAACAAAGTTTTCGTCAATTCCTTCCAACTGTTCAGTTTCCTGAGCAGCCAATACTGACAGTCAACGTCTAAGACTGTATTTGAAAGGTGGCCAAACAACTGAGGTTAGGAAGATGAATCACCAGCTTCAGAAGAAAATAAAAGGAAAAGACTGACCTGAAACAGAGCATCTTAAAACACATCAAAACATTATAATATACTCAACCCCGCCATGAAAATTGTTCCCAGTGTTGGAAATGAGAGGATAACAATTTAAAGTGAGGAATCAAAGGAGACATGAGGAATCTTTGTCTCCCCTAACCCTTACAGAGTGGGTGGTTAGGATTTGGAATGCATTGCCTGAGAGAGTGTGATGGAGACTGGTCCAATTGTGGCCTTCAAAAAGAAATGGATAATTATCCACACAGAAAAATTCTCAGGACGGCCGACAAAGGCAAAGGGAGTGGCGACTGCTGTTCCAGAGAACCAGCACATACACAATGGGCCAAAGGGTCTCCTTTGGCACTGTAACCATTCTGAGATTTAGGGATTTTAAACAAAGGAAACTCCAGCAGGATTTCACAGTATCATCTGAAGGAGAGCTGGCAGTGTCCTGCAAAGGGAGTAATTTTTGACTCTGCATGAGAAAATGGACATCAGAACAAAGAATAAAGAACAATATTGCACTGGAACAGGCCCTTCGGCCCTCCAAGCCTGTGCCAAAGCATTTTGCCCTTCCATACTAAAAATGGTAATTAATTTGGCTGAAGCACCCACCCAAGCTTTTACATTCCATTGAAGTCAAAGGAAAAAGTTGCGTTGTACCCTGTTACTGAAATTCAAAATCACCCTGCACTTTTCCCCCAATCTACACTCAAGAGGAGATTATCAGTTGCTTTGCTAATTGTGAGATCTTGCAAAGCAGAAACTGGTTCCTATTATTTAAGTGAGCAGCTACACATCAACAAACACTTTATTGGCTGTAACTTAGGGCGGAAATTCTTGTGATAGCAAAAGGCACTCAGCACTGTGCATGTGCAAACACGGTCTAGGCATTAATTTTGACCAGATGGAGCACACGGTTACAATTTCTCAGAACAATAGACAGCACCACATAGAAACACCACTACCATATTCAGCATGCAACTCAACACATCCTATTGTGTTCTTCTATTACAAGAGAGTAGCTGTTGGATAACAAGCTGCTCTCTCTCTCCAGTATGGAACATATACCCTGTACACTTGGGCACTGCCTACCCATGGCGATACAGACAGTGCAGGAGATACAGCTTTCACAGATACAGAAACCACACCATAACATTGCCAGCAGAGCCCAGGACCACATGTGTCCACTTGTAAACCTGGCAGCGTGCGCTGTACACAGCAATACAGCTAGAAAAGATCAGGGGGAGAAAAAGAAGACGTGCCCCAATCGTGGCAGGTGGTAGTCATTCACCCCAGCCCCACCCTCCCCACCCCCTCCTCCCATGTTTGTGCTACCATTTAATTTAACTGTGGATGATTTGTACCTCACTTGCATTTAGCTCAGAGGACTGGGCTTATGCAGCAATTTGTAGGCTCAGCACGCACTCTGGGCTACGGAATGTAGGCTAACATCATTTACAGCGCAGTGCTGTGGGGGTGCCACACTCCCAGCAGTACCACCTTTCAACTGAGGCATTAAAAGAAGGCTCCCATGGGTGTGTCACATGGCAGTCCTTCAAAGAAGAGAAGGGGCCATTCTCCCTGGTGTCCCAAGTTATATTTTACCCCTCAAACATCATCACTGACAAAACACCAGGTTATCTGCATTGTCATTAGTGGGAGCTTGCTGTGCATCCCGCTTTGTCTCCTACAACAGCGACTTCAAAAATTGCACTCCAGTGACAGTTCTTTAATATCATTACTTTTAAAAAAAATGCTTCAATGAGGCATACAGTATTGGACTGCAAACATTAACTCTATCCTTTTCTCCACAGATGCTGCCAGACCTGTTGATTTTTGTCAGTGCCTTATTCTTAAGTATTTTCAATGCCTCATCTGGGGGGTGCATGGATATCTCTGGAGCAGGTGGGACCTGAACCCAGGTCTTCTAGCCCAGAGGTAGGGACACTACCACTGTGCCACAAGAACCTCCCCTACCCTACTTTCTGTTTCTTTTTAAATTAAACAAGGGCTGATCTCAGTCTGTTGCAAAGAATTTCAAGTGACAGCGTCGACAGCGTTTTGCAGAATTCCACATTTCCATCGCCCTTTTTGTGAAGATTTAACCCTCGAAGGGCTGGCTCTCATTTCAAATATTATTATTGCCTCCTTTGTTCTCAATTCCAGCATCAGACTGAAACAAAAATTCAGCTTCTCTGAATGGACTCGGTCTAATCCCTTGTAACATTTTTTTAAGCACCTCAATTAGTTCACCCCTCAACCCTGCAGACTCGAGGGAATATCATCGCAGTTTATAAAGGCTGCATTCATAACTCCATTAATTGTCCTATGGTTTAACGCAAAATCAGGTCTGTAGTGCAGGGCCAGGGAAAGAAAAAGGCCATTAACCACAGTACTTGAAGGTATTCATATGTCAACCTCAATCAACTTGCAACAGACAATTAATGGATATCATCGTGGAATACAAATCTCCAAATCGTCCAATTTAAGAAGAAAATACACCCTGGTATTCCCCATAATTTAATGCATGCATTCACTGTAAAACTGGCCGGAGATGTTGCTGCATTAATTTATAACTGCAGCAAATTAAGATTGAAAGCACCGAAAAGTAGCTGCAGAGGATTAAATGTTGCACACACTCACATTGCCCTGAAAACGGTTTTATTATAAATCTCAAGCAATGAAAATTTGTAAATAAATTGTTAGGGATAAAGAAACAGTCGAGCTTGGCTGCAAACCTTTTGTCACTCAATGAAGCGAAAAGACGAGAAAAAGCACAATGAAATATTATAACTTTTTGAGGGTCAGTGTCTATTGCAACTTTCTAAATCTCAGCCTTGATGAACTTACCCCTCGGGCCCGGGAGAAACCAGCGCTGAGTTGCTTTATTCTTTTGAACAGATCACTCCTGCCAGACAATGGAAAGATGATAGCTAGGTCTTCTTTTATTGAGGGAGATAGGGAAAAGAGGCGAGGTTTACCCTCAAACTTTGACTGCAAAGTTCTCGCTACCTCTTTGATCAGACACTCATGGTTTTTCTTCACCTTCCTCTCTCTCTCTCTCTCTCCAGCGTGCACAAGCTCTCAGGACTCGATCCTTACAAGTCAGTGCTTGCCCTAATCTGCTGAGGACTCGGTAACTTTATTCCACACCCAGTGGGAGGAGCCCGAATCCAGCCCTAGCGGACCTCCTCACTGTCGAACAAAAGCCTCTGGTTAATTTCAGAAACCTCAAAGAGGCGAAATGAACAGAATCCAAGGTGTGAAATTCACCTGCACACCCGCCTCCCTTCACCCAAAACCATCTCTGTAAAGCTCACAGCTCTCTAAATCCTCACAAAGCCCCATTCCTTGTCCTGGTCTCAAATGCAGAGCTACATTTCTTTTGAGTGACGTGAGTCTTCGCAAATTGGGAAGCAGAAATCTTTCAGGAAGGGATGGTTTGAAGAGGTAATCTGACCTATCTCAAAACTGAACAGGTACTTCCTGCTCTTGGCATTCAGTTGCACAGCATTGGTTTAGAATTCCCCGTCTTTTTTGTTTCACAATTCCCTGTTATTCTAGTGTAAACTTCGTCAGTTTTCATCTTTCAAAAGATTATAACCGATGCAGGAAAATCAGACGGTGCTTAGAATCTTACTCCACCCAAGGTTGCCATTCAGCCCATGGTGTGTCTGTTCTTTTGGAAAGGATTTCTAATTAACTTCCACTGCTCTTTGCTTATTTGTCCCACATGTTTACTTTTTTTGAAAAAAAAATCTAATTCCCTTCTGTAAGTTACCAGACATTGCAAAGAAGAATTTCTGTTTCATATCTCCATTCTATATCACTGCAAAGAAGATTTGCTGATCTTCCATACAATCCCCACAGTGTAGAAGCAGGCCATTCAAACCATCGGGTCCACACTGACAGAGCTTTGAACCCAGACTCACCCCCCCTACTCTATCCCTGTTACACTGCATTTCCCAAGGAAAATCTATCCAGCCTGCACACTCCTGGCTGCTATGGACAATTTAGCATGGCCAATCCACCTTATCTGCAGGAGGAAACCCCACACAGACACAGGGAGAATGTGCAAACTCCACACAGTCACCTAAGGGTGGAGTTGAACCTGGGTCCCTGGTGCTGTGAGGCAGCAGTGCTAACCACTGAGCCACTGTGCCAGCTTTAGTCCCTATTCTAATGAGTGCAAGAGTGAGAGCTCACCACCACCTTCTCCAGCACAATCAGGGGTGGGCAATAAATGCTGACCCAGCTCGGGACGCCCACATCTCGTGCGTGAACTTTTTAGCAATGTTTAAATTTCTGTGCTGCCGTGCAATTAAATAAAAGTTACTTTGTGTCTGTTTCAATCATCCTTTCAGGCAGCACATTCCAAATCACACCAACTCGCTGCAAAAACAGCTTTCTTAACTTTTCTGTGAGCAGTACAGTGTGGATTGTTGAATGGACATTGACATGTTGGTGGAATGGGCAGATAGGTGGCACAGAAAGTTCAATGCGGAGAAGTGTGCAGTGATATATTTTGGCAGAAAGAACGTGAAGAAAAAGTATAAAACAAAGGGCAGTGCTTTCAAAGAGTGTATGTAGAGTTTTACAGGATAGAAATAGGCCCTTCAGCTCATCATCTCCCCACTGTTCATCAAGCAGCTATCTACATCCAAAGAGATAGTAAGAACTGCCTTTGCTGGATTCGGAGATAACACAGTGTGGAGCTGGAGGAACACAGCAGGCCAGGCAGCATCAGTGGAGCAGGAAAGCTGATGTTTTGGGTTGGGATCCTTCTTTAGAAAATGACCCTTATGAAGAAGGGTCCCGACCCGAAACGTCAGCTTTCCTGCTCCTCTGATGCTGCCTGGCCTGCTGTGTTCCTCCAGCTCCACGCTGTGTTATCTACATCCAAAGATGTGCAAGTTAGGTGGCTTGGCTGTGCTAAATTACCCATTGTGTTCAGCGTTGTGTTGGTTAGGTGCATTAGCCATGGGAAGTGCAGGGGTTACAGGGTTAGGGTAGGGGGTGGGTCTGGGTGGGATGCTCTTCGGAGGGTCAGTGTGGACTTGACGGGCCAAATGGCCTGCTTCCACATTGTAACGATTCTATGGTTCTCTGATTCTTTACCTATACACCTCCAAGTACCTCTGTTCCTGTGCCAGAATGTTGCCTGTGCTGTAGCATTTCAGCTATGAAGAGAGACTAGACAGGCTGGGGTTGCTTTCCTTAGAGCAGAGAAGGCTGAGGGGTAACCTAATTGAGGTGGACAAAATCATGAGGAGCTTTGATAGGGCCGATAGGAAAAAACTTTTCCTTTTGGTAGAGGTTACAGGGATAGAGTGGAGGGATGCGTCTGGGTTGGTGTGGACTCATTGGGCCAAAAGGCTTTTTTCCCACACTGTACGGATTCTATTCTACTCTAATCCCATTTTCCAACACTTGTTTTGTAGCCCTATATGCTGTAGTGTTTCAAGTGTTCAGCTAAATATTTCTTAAGTGAGGGTTCCCACTGCCACTATCCTTTCCGGCAGAATTACAGATATCACTTTCAGGGTAAAAAAAATTTCTCAAATCTTCTCTAAACCTCCTGCCCCTTAACTTAAATCCATGACCCTGGTTATTGACACCTCTGAACAGAGATACTTGAGGTGTAAAGGTATAGAATCAGAGAACCATAGAATCGTTACAGTGTGGAAGCAGGCCATTTGGCCCATCAAGTCTGCACTGACCCTCCGAAGAGCATCCCACCCAGACCCATCCCCTACCCTATCCCTGTAACCCTGCATTTCCCATGGCTAATGCACCTAGCCTGGACACTATGGGCTATTTAGCATGGCCAAGCCACTTAACCTGCACATCTTTAGACTGTCAGAGGAAACCAGAGCACCTGGAGGAAACCCAAGCAGACACGGTATAGGTATAAGTAGTTAAAGGTGGGAGGACAGGTGAAGACAGTTGTTGATAAAGCATACAATATTCTAAGCTTCATGAGTGGTTCAGAAAAGATTTACAAGGATGTTGCCAGGGTTGGAGGGTTTGAGCTTTAGGGAGAGGCTGAATAGGCTGGGGCTATTTTCCCTGGAGTGTCGGAGGCTGAGGGGTGACCTTATAGAGGTTTAGAAAATCATGAGGGGTATGGATAGGGTGAATCGACAAGGTCTTGTCCCTAGGGTAGGGGAGTCCAAACCCAGACAGGCATAGGTTTAAGGTGAGAGGGTAAAGATATAAAAGGGACCTAAAGGGCAATTTTTTCTTGCAGAGGATGGTGCGTGTATGGAATGAGCTGCCAGAGGAAGTGGTGGAGGCTGGTACAATTACAACATTTAAAAGGCTTCTGGATGGGTATATGAATAGGAGGCATTTAGAGGGATTTGGTCCAAATGCTGGCAAATGGTACTAGATTAATTAAGGATATCTGGTCGGCATGGATAAGTTGGGCCGAAGGGTCTGTTTCTGTGCTGTATATCTCTATGACTCTATGAGTAGGGACGTAAAATAGAGGAGCAGGAAGTTATTCTGAACATGTATTCGACACTAGTTAGACTTAGCTGAAGTATTAAGTATAGTTCTGTGTGCCACACTTTAGAAAAGATATGAAAGTATTGGACTGAGTGCAGAAGAGGTTGAGCAGGATAATTCCAGGAATGAGAAACTCCAGTTATGAGGATAGATTGGAGAAGTTAGGGACTGTTTTCCTTGGGGAGAAGGCTGAGATTTGAAAGAAATTTTCCAAATCTTGAAGGTGCAGGACAGAGTGGGTGTGGAGAAATTTCTTCCCCTTGTAAAAAGATCGAGAATGAGAAGGCAGAGATTTAAAAATATTTGCAAAAGCAGTAAATATGAAGAGAGAAAATACTTTTTTAGCATAGCAAGTAGTTAGAGCATGGAAGTCTGGTGGAGGCAAGTTTAAATGAAGCATTCAAGAGGACACTGGATGGCTATTGAAATAGAAACGACGTGTAGGGTTACAGGGAAAGGCCGGAGAATGGCACTAAGTGATAAAACTCGTTCAGAGAGCTGGTGATGACCCAGTGGGCCAAAAAGCCTTCTTCAGCTCTGTATCAGTTCTGTGATTCACTCCTTACTATTTTATCAGTTACCTTTAGACTTTGCCTTCTGGCTATGGACATATCTGCCCATGGAAATAGTCTCCCCCTCTTCACTTTATCAAAATTCCTCAGTATTTTGAAAAGTTCTGTTAAATCTCCCCTTAACACTTTCTGATTTAGATGGAACAACTGCAGCTCCTCTGGTCTCTGTATGTAATCATACATCCTGGTATCATTCTAATAGATCCCTCTCATCCTCTTCTAGTATCTTGTGGGCAAACCCTTTTCTTCCCATTATTTGTCAGACTTCTGCATTTAAAGTATGTCTTTTCTATTAATAATCCAAAATTTGTTCCAGTATCGTCAACAGATTTATAAATTTGCACTTACAGAGAAATCCCACTTTGCTTCTACACTGGAACTGATTTGGATTCTGATGTGAGAGCCCAAACAAAGATTCTCTGAGACTACACTGTGAAAACTCCAACACAATTGGAGTTTTAAAATGATGCTGGTTTTTTTTATTCTTTCATGGGACATCACTAGAAAGGCCAACACTATTGGCCTTAAACTAACTGGTTTGTTAAGCAACCTAGAGAAAATAGGGAACCCTTGCTAAAAGTGTAGTAGGCACAGGCTGTAATACAGTGAACTGGTTTGGTCACCTTATCTAAGGAAATACTGGTGTTCTGAAGAAGGGTCACTCGACCCGAAATGTTATCTCTGATTTCTCTCCACAGATTTTGCCAGACCTGCTAAACTTTTCCAGCAATTTCTATTTTTGTCTAAGAATGCAACTGAGAGGTCCTTCCCAGAAAGGCACTCATTACTACATGGAGTAATTGAGGGGGCAGTACGCAGGGAGAAAGGAATAGGCGGCTGTGCTGAGATAGAACATAGAACATAGAACAGAACAGCACAGTACAGGCCCTTCGGCCCACGATGTTCTGCTGACCTATTATCCTACTCTATGATAAAACTAACCTGCATATCCTTCATTTTACTATCCCCCATGTGCCTATCCAAGAGTCGCTTAAATGTCCCTAATGTATCTGACTCCAGTACCACTGCCGACGGCGCATTCCACACGCCCACCACACTCTGTGTAAAGAGCCTACCTCTGACATCTCCCCTATACCTTCCTCCAATCACCTTAAAATTATGTCCCCTCATAATAATTCCGCCCTGGGAAAAAGTCTGTGACTATCCACTCTATCTACGCCTCGCATCATCTTGTAAACCTCTATCAAGTCACCTCTCATCCTTCTTTGCTCCAATGAGAAAAGCCCTAGCT